TGGTAGCAATAGTAGTCGCAGTAGTAGTAGCAGTAGTAGCAGTAGTAGTAGTAGTAGTAGTAGTAGTAGTAGTAGTAGTAGTAGTAGTAGTCGTCGTAGTCGTAGTAGTAGTAGTTCTAGTAGTCGTAGTAGTAGTCGTAGTAGTAGTAGTAGTACCCGTCGCAGTTTTAGAGGTAGTCGTAGTAGCAGTAGTAGTAGTAGTGGTAGTAGTAGTAGTAGGAGTAGTAGTCGTCGTAGTAGTAGTATTAGTAGTAGTAATAGTAGAAGTAGTAGTAGTAGTAGTAGTAGTAGTAGTAGTCGTAGTAGTGGTGGAGGTCGTAGTCGTCGTCGTCGCAGTAGTAGTCGTAGTCGTCGCTGTCGTAGTCGTAGTCCCAGTCGCAGTGGTAGTAGTAGTAGTAGTAGTAGTAGTAGTAGTAGTAGTGGTGGTAGTAGTAGTAGTAGTAGTAGTAGTCGTGGTCGCAGTCGTATTAGTAGTCGCAGTCGCAGTCGTCGCAGTAGCAGCCGTAGTAGTAGTTGCAGTCGCCGTCTTAGTAGTAGTGGTAGTACTAGTAGTAGTTGCTGTAGTGCTTGTGCCCGAAGTAGCAGTCGCCGCAGTAGTAGTAGTAGCCGAGGAAGTCGTAGTAGAATGTGTAGGTTTAGTATTCGTAATTGGCGTGGTCGCAGTAATGCTGGGAGTGATCGTAGCAGTGATGGGGGTCGTCGTAGTAATACTAATATGACTTCTAGTTGTAGTAGCAGTAGTAGTAATTAATGGAAGGCGCCGTAGCAGTAGTAGTAGTAGTAGTAGTAGTAGTAGTAGTGGTAGTAGTCGTAGTGGTAGTTGTATTAGTAACAGTGAGTAGTAGTCGTAGTAGTAGTAGTAGTAGTAGTAGTAGGAGCAGGAGTAGGAGTAGCAGTAGGAGTAGGAGTAGGAGTAGGAGTAGTAGTAGTAGGCGTAGTAGTAGTAGTGGTGGTAGTAGTTGTAGTCGTAATCGTTGTCGTATTAGTGGTCGTAGTAGTAGTAGTAGTAGTAGTAGTAGTAGTAGTAGTAGTCGTAGTAGTAGTAGTAGTAGTAGTAGTAGTAGTAGTAGTAGTTGTAGTCGTAGTAGTAGTGAGAGTAAGAGTAGTAGTAGTAGTAGTAGTAGTAGTAGTAGTAGTAGTAGTAGTAGTAGTAGACGTAGTAGTAGTAGTAGTAGCAGTAGTAGTAGTAGTCGTAGTAGTAGTAGTAGCAGTCGTAGTCGTAGTAGTAGTAGTAGTAGTAGTAGTAGTAATAGTAGTTGTAGTAGTAGTCGTAGTAGTAGTAGTAGTAGTAGTAAGTAGCGAGCAGTAGCAGTAGTAGTAATAGTAGTAGTAGTAGTAGCAGCCGTAGTAGTAGTAGTAGTAGTAGTAGTAGTAGTAGTAGTAGTAGTAGTACTAGTAATAATCGTAGCCGTCGCCTTGGTAGTATTAGTCGCAGTATTGGTAGGGGTAGTAGCGGTAGTAGCAGAAGTAGTAGTAGTAGCAGTAGTAGTAATAGTAGTGGCAGTAGTAGTAGCAGCCGTAGTAGTAGCCGTAGTAGTCTTCGTCGGCGTCTTAGTTGTAGTCGTGGCAGGAATAGTAGTAGTAGTAGTAGTAGTAGTAGTAGTAGTAGTAGTAGTAGTAGTAGTAGTAGTAGTAGTACTAGTAGTACGAACAGTTGTAGGAGTAGTAGTAGTAGTAGTAGTCGTACTCGTAATGTAGTAGTAGTAGTCGTCGTAGTAGTAGTAGTATTCGTTGTCGTAGTCGTACTATTCGCAGCCGTAGTCGGAATGTATTAGTCGTCGTAGTCGTAGTCGTATCATTCGCAGTCTAAGTCGTACTAGTTGTCTGATTAGTTCTATTGGAAATAGTAGTAGTCGTAGTAGGAGTAGATGTAGCAGCCGTATCAGTAGAAGTCGTAGTAGTCGTAGTCGCCGTAGTAGTAGTAGTAGTGTTCGTCGTAGAGTGTGCAGTAGTAATAGCAGGGGTAGTCGTAGTAGTAGTAGTAGTAGTAGTAGTAGTAGCAGCAGTAGTAGTAGTAGTAGTAGTAGTAGTAGTAGTAGTAGTGGTGGTGGTGGTAGTAGTAGTAGAAGCAGTAGCAGTGTTTGTAGTAGAGATCATTGTAGCAGTTGCATGTGTAGTTGTAGCTGTGGTAGAAGCAGTAGTGGTAGTCGTTGTAGGCGTAGTGATCGTAGCAGTAGTAATAGTAGTAGTAGTAGTAGTAGTAGTAGTCGTAGTAGTAGTAGTAGTAGTAGTAGTGGCAGTAGTAGTAGTAGTAGTAGTAGTAGTAGTAGTAGTAGTAGGAGTAGTAGTAGTAGTGTGGCAGTAGTAGTAGTAGTAGTAGTAGTACTAGTAGTAATAGTAGTAGTAGTAGTAGTAGTATTGGTAGTAGTAGTAGTAGTAGTAGTAGTAGTAGTGGTAGTAGTAGTGGTGGTGGTACTAGCCATAGTCGTAGTAGTAGTAGTAGTAGTAGCCGTAGTAGTAGTAGTAGTAGTAGTAGTAGTAGTAGTGGTGGCCGTGAGTAGTAGTCGGAGTCGTCTTCGTGGTGGTAGAAGTAGTATTCGCAGCAGTAGTAGTAGTAGTAGTAGTAGTAGTAGTAGTAGTGGTAGTATCAGTAGTAGTAACACTAGCCATCGACCTTGTCACTAATAGAGGTAATGCTGGTAGTCGTAGTCGTAGTTGTAGAAGTAGAAGTCGTCGCAGTAGCATGTGTAGAGGTTTTAGAAGTCGTTGTTTTGTAGAAGTAGTAGTTGCAGTAGTAGTAGTAGTAGTAGTAGTAGTAGTAGTAGTAGTCGTCGTCGTCGTCGTAGCTGTAGCAGTGGTAGTCATTGTCGTAGAAGTCGAAGGTGTAGTCGTAGTAGTAGTAGTAGTAGTAGTAGCAGTAGTAGTAGTAGTAGTAGTAGTAGTAGCAGTAGTAGTAGTAGTGGTGGTAGTAGTGGTAGTAGTTGTGGTCGTTGTAGTCGTAGTAGTAGTTATAGTAGTTGTAGTAGCCGTAGTAGTGGTAGTAGTGGTAGTAGTGGTAGAATTAATGATACTGGTGGTAGTAGTAGTAGTCGTAGTAGTAGTTGTAGTAGTCGGACTGCTACTGGTACTCGTAGGAGTAGTGGTTGTAGTAGTCGTAGTAGTAGTAGTAGTAGTAGTAGTAGTGGCCGTAGTAGCAGTAGTAGTGGTAGTAGTAGTAGTAGTAGTAGTAGTAGTAGGAGGAGGAGTAGTAGTGGTAGTAGTAGTAGTAGTAGTAGTAGTAGTAGTAGCAGTCGTAGTAGTTGTAGTAGTGGTAGTAGTAGTAGTAGTAGCAGCAGTTGTAGTATCAGTAGTAGTAGTAGTAGTAGTCGTAGTCGTAGTCGTAGTAGTAGTAGTAGTAGTAGTAGTAGTAGTAGTAGTAAAAGTAGTAGTAGAAGAAGTAGTACTAGTAGTAGTAATGGACTTAGCAGTAGTAGTGAACTTAGCAGTAGTGGAGTTGTAGAAGTAGAAGTAGAAGTACTAGCAGTAGTAAGGACTCAGCAGTAGAAGTAGTAGTAGTAGTAGTAGTAGTAGTAGTAGTAGTAGTGGACTTAGCAGTAGTGGACTTCGTAGTAGTATTCGTATTCGTAGTAGTAGTAGTAGTAGTAGTCGTAGTAGTAGTAGTAGTAGTAGTAGTAGTAGTAGTAGTAGTAGTAGTCGTGGTAGTAGTAGTAGTAGTAGTAGTAGTAGTAGTAGTCGTAGTCGTAGTAGTAGTTTCAGTAGTAGTAGTAGTAGTAGTAGTAGTAGTAGTAGTAGTAGTAGTAGTAGTAGTCGTCGTAGCAGTAGTAGCAGTAGTAGTAGCAGTAGTAGTAGTATCCGTAGTTTGGGGAGGTTGGGAGAGTAAGCGTGCGAGTATGATGACGACGACAGCGGCGTCCTCGGTGAAGACGGCGGAGGCCTCAGCGGTAGCCCTGCCAGCGGGGCGTGAGTTTTGATCCCTGGGACCCGGGCGACCACCGGGCAGGACCGCCCATCTGCCGGCACAGCGCCCTCGCCCCGCTTGTCGCTCGGAGCGGCCTCGTGTAGACACCACCTCGTTCGGTCGGCCAAGGAGCCGAGGATCAGAGGAGGGAAGGGTACCCATACCGCTACACTTCGCCCGTTTCCGCCGTTTTTGGGTCTCCTGGGAGGCCCTCGTCACCAACGCCGGGTTCGCGTCGGAATCCTGGTCAGAACGCACCCCGGGAGAGATCAGGGGAGTAGCGGTATGGGTACTTTCTGGCTTCCCCAAAGGATGCGGGGAAGACGCATTTTTGACTACCCATATCCAGTGCACCTTGGAGGTTCGAGCTCCCTTCCTCAGACAGCCGAGGCGCAGTGGATATGGACAAAGATGTGGCCCCTGGAGGCCAGATTTTTACCCAGATCCAGTGCGCCTCGGCCTTTTGGCGCCCCTTCCCAGAAATCCTAAGGCGCAGTGGATCTGGATACAACTCTTGCCCGAGGACCCCTCCCTGCCCCTCGTAAGGCCCTGCGGCCGTACTTTGTGGACTGGCTCGGCGTGCCCGAGCGGCTCTCGGCGCGGGAGTGCCTGGACCCCCCCCCGTGGGGCTCTCTCGGAAGGGGTGGCGGGGGGCGCGGAGGCGCAGCGCAGCGCGCCGCGTGGCGCCTTCTCGCTCCGTGTTCCGCCGGCTCCTCCGTAATGCGGGATGACGATTAGTTAAACACATGGGGGAGAACGATTAAACAAATAGTTTTCTATTATTTCTGCACAAGTTTTTGACTGGAGGGGAACGATTCAAGAAATAGTTTTCCAGCCCGCGGCCGGTTTTTTCTAATCGTCATCCCAGGCGCCGCCGCGTGAACACGACCCCCGGTCATTTATTAATCGTCATCTTCCATTGCCTCCTGGAGCTCGGCGCTCTCCCCGCCGAACCGCCCAAAACAGATGCCCCCCAGCCGCGGGCGGCTCTCGATAGTTGCCGATGGGTGGGACTGCGGGGGGCATCTGCTTGCGGCAGTTCGGTGCACCAGCGGATCGAACTCGTCGTGCCCCCCCTCAGGGTCACCCCCTCCTCTGGTGGATCCCGGTTGCGACGGGGGTCAATGCAAACGGGGGTCAGCCAGGCCGCCGGATCCTGCAGGATGCTGCAGAGCCAGGGCTGCACAGACCCAGGCTTCCGTGCAGGATCGTCCAGGATCCTGCAGAATCTTGCAGGATCCTGCAAAGCCCGACTGACCTGGGTGTGGACTGACCCAGGTCAGTAGATCCCGGACGCCAACCCTGCCAGGGGTGTTCACGGTTCGTCCACGACTGTCCACGACTGTCGGACGAACGACTGTCGGACAGCCCACAACTGTCGGAAGATGGTCTCGTCATATGGGCCCCATCTTGCCCAAGCGCGCTTGGACTTGTCCCAAGTGGGCTTCTAGACGGCTTCACTAGAGACCCAGAAGGGCCTCCAGAGATTGCGAGATTGTCACGAGAGGACCCCGGCGCGCTTTCATAGCGCCCCCATGACAACTTCGAGAGGGCCGCGGCAGAGCCGCACAAGGAAGGAGGAGGAGGAGGAGGAGGAGGATGAGGAAAAGGAGGAGGAATAACGCCCCCTCGAAACACGAAAGGTCCCTCTTGCAACTGATGGGAAGTGGGTGGCGTGAGGCCGGAGGAGGAGGGAGGAGGAGGAGGAGGAGGAGGATGGGATGGGTGCGCGTCGGAGGGGTGTTTGGAGGGAAAGTTGCAATTACATTTGCGAATGCCTGCTACGTGCGCTTCTGTTGATTTGCGAGGAGGGCCTCACAACGCTCCACGACGGACAACGCAGCTCCACTGAGCCACTGAGCCCAGAGACAACCCCACAAGAGCTCAATAACAATCGTCTGCGAATTTAGTGCATTTTGTACTGTGCATGTGCAACTGCGAGCATGCTTGCAGGTGCGGTCGGCTGTCGACAGTGACGGCTGGATTCGCAAATTTGCAATGTACCGTGGCCCGGACGTTGTGACCGCTGCCTGGGCATTTTCTTGGAGCCGCGACCAAAAAAAGTGTACCCACCAGCCGCTCGTAGCCCGAGCTGACTCGACTCGCCGCTGGCGCCTGCGATTGCGACAAAAAGTGTACCCACCAGCAGCGGCTGACGGCGCGCGGCTCTCCCGCTTGCGCTCGCGAACAAAAAAGTATACCCACCAGCTCGTCCACAAACGATGCCCATGATAGCTGATGGGAGAAGTGAGCAAGAGACACACATAGTGAAACAGCGCGGACACCAAGGGCCTCTTTGGAGCTCTGGAGGGCCTCTTGGGGCCAACCTGGACTGCATCGGTCAAAGAGGGGGGAGGGGCCTTCGATTTCAGGCCCCCGCTTAGGAGCCCTCAAAGTACCCTTTTGGAGCAATCTTGCGGCGCTTTTGGGAGGTATTGGCGTCCTCTGGGGACCCTTCAGTGGTGCCATGCGGCTCTATTGGGCCCATATTGGGCCCTCTTGGGGTCATCTCGGAGGCCTTGGAGGGCCTCTTGGGGCCATCTTGGAGGCCATTGATCTACGGAGGGGTGGTCCTCAATTTTGGTCCCTTCATGCGCGCTCGAAGCCGCCTCTTGGGGCGCTGTTGGGGGCGATCTCGGGCACTTTGGGGGCCGTCTTGGGGGCCTCTTGGGCCTTCTTTGGGCCCTCTTGGGCCACATTGGGGCCATCTTGCGGCTTCGAAAGCCCATGGGAAGCGAAAGGGCGAGAAGGCAACACACATTGATCTTCTTGTGGTTTGTAAAGGATTTGGGCCTCTTGGGGGGTCCCTGCAGGGCTCCGAGAGCACGGGGAGCCGTCTTTGTGGGCCTTTGGGGGCCTCCTGGAGGCATGTTTGGGGCCAGCTCGAACCATGTTGAGCTATCTAGAGCCATCTGAGAGGCCATGTTGGAGCATCGGGAGCCCTCTTGGAGCCATTTTGGCCCCTCTGACCGCTCGCGCCCCCCCCCCGGAACAACAACAAGGAACGGAGGGGACGCCACCCTTCCCGGAAGGGAGGAGTGTTTTGGAAGGGGAAAGAAATAGATTGCCAGACCACCTGCGCCCTACAGGGCTGGTGAGTTTCCTGTGGCGAATAGGGCGAGGAGGAGGATACACCCCCCTATGTGCTAACCATTGCGGGATGCTGCCCCGATCCGCTTGCTGATGTGAGGCAGGTTTGGACTTCACCAGAACCTAAGCGCGCACATGGTTCTAGCATGCGTATGTACGTATGTATGTATATATATATATATATATATGTATATATGTGTACACACAGACACCCTCCAATGGCTTGCTCCTGGGCCTAAGGAGAGGGGGGCGGTGCATAAATCACCACTGAGAGCCAGCGAATTCAGACGCCGCCACCCTCCCTTCAGGCGCAGGCAGAACTCGTCGGCGGGCGCCACTCCGCGCGCCCCGCCGCACGCCGGCGCTCGCGCGCTCGCTCCTCTGCTCGCAACAAAAGACTTGCACTTGGTGCTTCTTAGACATGACGTTTGGCATGTTGGTGCCGTTTTGCACTTTGGGCCCTTGACAAGCTAAACGCGCGAAAGCAGAGGTACGTTTTTTTTCTTTTGCAAACTTGTTGTTTCAATGCTCTTTAGCGTTGTCAGCCCGTCTTCGTGGATCGTCAGTTGGGGGGCGTTCTTTTCGTGGTATAGAGCTCAGTGCGGCCCCCCGGGGCCCGTCGAGGCCCCAAACGGCCAACAGAATCACCACGTCCTGGTTCTTCCAGGATCCGAGCATTTCTTGGGCACGGCCGCTCAAAGGTTCGGACCCCTCTTCGGGCGTGCCGCTTCGTTCCGGATGCGTTTCTGACGGCCCCGAGGCCCGACGACGGGCCTCGAGGCAGAAGTGCATGCAAAACGCCCGGGCCGAACGCCTTAATGGAGGATGGCGATTAATAAATGACCGGGGGTCGTGTTCACGCGGCGGCGCCCGGGATGACGATTAGAACAAACCGGCCGCGGGCTGGAAAACTATTCTTTTTCATCGTTCTCTTCCAGTCAGAAACTTGTGCAGAGATAGCAGAACACAATTTCTTTATGGTTCTCTCCCCTTTTTCCCCAATCCTCATCCTGCATCAGCAGCACATGAAAAACGCCCGGGCCGAACACCTTAGGAGCACACCGCCACGGATTTGGAACTGCAGGGCCCCCGGGAGGAGGAGGAGGAGGAGGAGGAGGAGGAGGAGGAAGAGGAGGAGGAGGAGGAGGAGGAGGAGGAGGAGGAGGAGGAAAAGAGCTGGAGGAGGAGGAGGAGGGCCCCCGCCGAGGACTGGCTCCGCGCCCTGCGCCGCGGCGCGGAGGCGGCGCCGCAGGGCGGCCCGCGCGGTGGCCCCGGCCCGGCCCCGCCCGCCGCGCAGGCCGGGCGCCCGCCGGGCGCGTCGGGGGGAGGCGGAGGAGGAGAGGAGGAGGAGGGAGAGGAGGAGGAGGAGGAGGAGAGGAGGGAGGAGGAGGAGGAGGAGGAGGAGGAGGAGGAGGAGGAGGAGGAGGAGGAGGAGGAGCAGCAGCAGCAGGAGGAGGAGGAGGAGGAGGAGGAGGAGGAGGCGGAGGAGGAGGAGGCGGAGGAGGAGGAGGCGGTCCCACGGCGGTGCGGAGGCCCCGCCGCTCCACGAGCGCGGCGCCCGCCGGGCGCGTCGGGGGGGAGGCCTCCACCTTGACCTTCCAGGAGGGCTAAAAAATGGCACCAGGACCTCGATCTCTTAATTCCTGTCGAGGTTTGAGGCCGCCCAGATAGGTCTACAGGTCTGGAGGGGCTGTTTTTTAGCACTCTGGAAGGTCAGGGCAGACCCCCTCGAGTCATGAAAAAATCACGACGGGAGGTTTTTCGCCATTTGCGGCCTCTGGGAGCCTCCACCGGCCCTCAGGACCGTCAACAAAACGACTCGGGATGAGAAACCGGTCCCGGGGAAGGGGCCCAGAGTTCTGGGGGCCGCGTCATGAAAAAAAACATGACGTCGGTAGTCTGGGCCCCACGGCGGTGCGGAGGCCCCGCCGCTCCACGAGCGCGGCGCCCTCGGGGGGGATCGGACGCGGAGAGGTCCGTTTCAGAGCGTTCTCTGGAGCGCTCGCAGAGAGTGCGGGAGCGCTGCGCCCGAGGCATCCTCCAGAGCCGCCGGACCTCCGAGATTTCGGAGCGACGGCCTGGCCCGCCAGCTTGTCCCAGCGGCTGCGGCGCAATGTGGGAAATAGGGATTGCGCCCGCGTTGGCTGAGGCGGCGACAGCGCCGAGGAACATCGACGCGCGCGCTCATGCAGTAGGAAGCGGAGGGGGCGGCGGGGAGCGAACGCAAACGAGAAGGCCAGGAGGGGGAACGCATGGGGCGGGAGGTGGGCCTGCGCCAGGGCGAGAAGGAGAATGAGTCGGAGGAAGCAGTAATGGCGCGTCAGTAATCGCGAGGACGACGGTGAGGGTCATTTCCAGATTCGCCGAGCTGGTTCTCACGCGGGGTCCTACCGTCGGAGTAAGTGCACGACGCGAGGGTCTGGACGTTCCGGCACCCACATAAGGCGGCGCTGGCCTCATGTTTCGGGGGGGGGCCTTCGATCCATGCATGTGGCGCCCACGCGCCAGATCCACGGATGTGGTTGTTCCATGTCGGCGCGTGCCCGATGCTGGCTGGCACTTTGAAAATCGGCGGCGAGCGAGGGGAGGGAATGAGAAGGAGAAGGCATTTTCAGAAGGCGGCGAGACTTCTCAGGTTGCCTCCGGTTTTCTGAGAGTTGTTTTTTTTTTTTTTTGTTACGTCTCCGGGGAAGGCGTAAAGCACTTATCAGAAAGCTGGTGGGCTTCCGAGCCTTCTGAGAAGGCGCCCCCTGTTCATTTCCTCCTCCCGCTCGCCGCCGAGAGTCGGCGGCGGCGTGCCATTCTGTTCCTCGCACGGGCAGCCGGCGAAGCGGTGGAGGGTGTTCGTTGAATCCCACGGATGTGATCTGGGGAGCCCACGGCAGGGCGCCCGCGCCGCCTACGACGACCTGTGGCACGCGCTGCGAAAGAGCAGCAACGACGAGGCTGAGGACCGGCAGTTGGGCTATATGTTCGTTTCGGGGACTTTTCACAAGGGCCCAGCTAACGGATCGTTTCCATTCCAGTTCGGTTTTGGTTCGACTCTAGCTCGACCCCAGCTCGACTCGCGCTCGACTCTGGCTCGGCTCACGCTCGGCTCTCAAGTCGACGGGCGTTCGACGCAACATCGACGCATGAGTGGAACGAGTTGCTCCAAGAAGGTCCCCAAAACGAGCATCTAAGTTGCAAGAGGCTTTCGGCTGAGATTCAGGAGGAATCTACCGATGCGGCTGTTCGTCCTGGAGAGCCCCCGTCGCCACGGCAATGTCCCTTTCAGAATTATGGTCGCAGCGCGCCCCATGAGAGGTCCAGGGGGAGTAACGGCATCGGCGCACTCCTGCCCATTCAGTGACGTCTTGGGCGCTGGCGGGACTCTTGCCCGCTTTCCATCATTCAAGCAGTGACGAACCGCCCTGGCTTGTCTACGGACTCACCAACGAATGTTCTAAGAACCTTGCGTGGTTGGCACCATCTGTTAGAGCATCTCTGGATGAGACCGTCTTGCTTTAACACATCGGCTCCATGTTCCAAGAATGCCGTGTGGTTCTCAGCACATCTATTTGGTTCTGGGGGCATCTCGTCGTAGGCCTACAGGAATGCCGGGACGGTCGGTCCCTGCCCAAATCATCGTCGGGAGACGGTCGAACAAGACATCCAAGCGTAGACACACATGTTGGAAGGTCCGCGCGGACTTTTTGCTTGGGAGCTGGACCTTCCCTTCCAGGGCGCGCGGGGCGCGCCGCCCAGGGGGTAGCGGGGGCCCGGCACCGATCCAATCGGCCCCCCCTCGGAGCTCCGGAAGTCTGTGCCAGGGCGGCGTTTTCTGCCGAGGAGCACAAAACGGCGTGCACATGAGCTGCTGGAGCTCCGGGGCCCCAGCGACGGGGCCCGAGGCGCTCGTGCCCCACGCCCTCGCACTCAGAGGCAGGCGCCGCCGACGTCGAGCCTTGCTGGGCCTCTGCTGCCCCCTCCCCGAGCCTCGAAGGGGGGGCCACGGCTCGGGTGTCGCCGCCGGCCTCCGTCGGGTCCTGGGGCCCCAGTGAGGGGGCCTGGGGCCCTCGTGCTCCACGCCTTCGATCGCCCCGGTCGGCGCCGCCGACGTCGAGCGCACAGCCCCGCGCTTGGCATCGCTCGGACGTGTGCATGTTTCCTTCGGCGAGGACCATCGCGGAGCATCCTTGATCATTTGGCGAAAAAACCACGCACGAAACCGAAAAAAGGGAATGGACGTCCGAGCGATGGCGAGCGCGCGCACGTCCAGAGGGCGGGCTGAGGAGTGGTCCAGGGGAGGAAACCTGGACACCGACCGCCACTCTTGCCTCGTTCTCCCCCCTTTTGGGGCCCTCCTGGGAAGCCCTCGTCGCCACCGCCCGGTTCGCCTCGAGAGCCTGGTCAGAACGCACTCCAGGAGAGGTCCAGGGAGTAGCGGTATCGGCACGACTGCTGTTCCCAAGCCCTCCTGTGCTGGGCTCTCGCTTCGAGCAGAGCGCTGCCCGCGCGTCTTCCTCCTCCTCCCTCCTGCCTTCTCCTCCTGCCTGTTGCCTCCTCCTCCCGTCTCCTCCTGCCTGGGGGTGGGTGGCTGATCGCTTCGGTTAAGCAAATCGGTGGTTGCTTTAGAGGAGATCGTGCGTTTTGTTCTTTTCTTCGGTGCAGCATGTGGGGGTTCAGCGTGCCGCGTGCAGCGTGTGGGCTCTGCGGTGAGGGCGGCCGTAGGCCCAGGCGAGATGGCCCACCCCTCCCCAGGGTCGGGAAAAGAGTGTGCAGCACGCCTTCGCGTCCTGAGCTCGCGCAGGAGAGCTGGCAGGTCGGTGTCCCAGGGGAGACTGGTGCTCCTTCGCTGTGAGCCCGCCACGCCCGCAACGGGGGGTGGTGTGGTGTTTATTTCTTTCCCCGATGTCCCGGGAAAGCAACGAAACATGTATAAACCGGGATCCCGTAGACACCAGAATCCGCGTTCCGGTGCGAATTTCAGCGCAGGGCCGGGAAAAGCTTCGGTGTATAGAGTTCGTTCCCCTACAGAAGGCACCCCGAATCTCAAAATAGATGGGGTCGCCCCCGTCCCCGCCCCCCGTTCCGGTGCGAATCTCAGCGCAGGGTCCGGAAAAGCCTCGGTGTATAGAGTTCGTTCCCCTACAAAAGGCACCCCGAATGTCAAAATAGAAGGGGCCGCCCCCGTCCGTGCCCCCCCCCCCGCCTTCCCCGTGAGAGCACCGAGCGTCCGCGGGCGGGGAGGGCACTTTGCGTCCTGGGCTCGCGCAGGAAAGCTGGCAGATCGGTGTCCCAGGGGAGGCTGCTGCGTCTTCGCTGTGAGCCCTCTCGGGCGTCGCCCCCGTCCCCCCCTTCTTACAAAAGGCACCCCGAATGTCAAAATACAAGGCACCCCGCATGTCAAAAGGCACCCCGAATGTCAAAATACAAGGGGTCGCCCCCGTCCCCCCCCTCCCCATCCCCGTGAGGGCACCGAGCGCCCGCGGGCGGGGTGCGGGCGGGTTCCCCCCCCCTCCGGCCGGCGGGCGCGGCCGATCGGGACGGCCTGGGCACCCCTGGAGCGGCTTCGGCGGGGCGCAGCTGCTGGAAGGCGCCCCTGCAGAGGCTGGGAGAACCTCGAACAACCGACGAAATCTTTTGCAAAACCTCCGCCTCGTCGTCGTCCTCCTCCTCCTGCTCCTCTTCCTCCTCCTCCTCTCCTCTTCCTTCCTCCTCCTCCCCCTCCTCCTCCCTCCTCCTCCTCCTCCTCCTCCTCCTTCTCCTCCTCCTCCCCCTCCTCCTCTCCTTCCTCCCTCCCCCTCCTCCTCCTCCTCCTCCTCCTCCTCCTCCTCCGAATTTCGATCCTCCTGCTCGAAGGGGTTCGGGTCCATTTCCTCGCTCCCTGTCACCACCCTGCCACCCCCCCAGACGAGTCCGTAGGCCAGGCCGGGCGTTCGAAGGAGTTTGGGTCCATTTCCTCGTCCTCCCTGTCACCTCCCTGCCACACCCCCCGACGAGTCCGTAGGCCAGGCCGGGCGTGTCGCCTGAGGCTTCCTCACCATGCCTGGTCCTGAGCTTGTAAAGCTACAGCAGCTTCCAGGGTGGAGGGTGGGACGTTTTCAGCTTGGAGCTGTCGTTTTTAGCGCCGCGCAAACAAGCAAGCGTCGCAGCAACGTCCAGGATGGAGGGTGCACTGTTTTCTAAAAGGAGTTGACGCGACGCACATTTGCTTCAACAGCTTGCAGCAGCTTCAATGATGGAGGTGCCCGTTCCTTTCTTTAGAGTGGCTCTCGCCCTAGCGCCGCGCACATTGGTCTTCAAACGTTTGCAGCAGTTTCAAGGACTCGTAGGGTTGCAGTCCCAGGAGGGGTGCTCCGGCATCGGATTGCCAGGACGGAGTAGTCACGTAGATTCGCGGCGTTGAAGTCCAATACATGGGGTTCTGGCGCCATCTAGGGTTGTCAGCACGCAGCAGTTACGTGCATTCGCGGCGCTGAAAACTCAGAAATTGCGTCTTGCCGCGATCTAAGAGTTTCGCAGACTTTCAAAAGCCTGAAGGGCGCCTGAATCACAACAAATTTATACACGCCGGTCGTTGAAAGTAGGTATTTTTGGATTCCCAGATCCCAATCTACTTCCAGCGCCTTCCTACTTCAAGAATCGACACGCTTTTGCTGTGTTTTGTTATTCTCTGGGGGGACCTGGGCCCAATCTACTATATACGCCTTCCTACTTCATGTTTCTACCTACTTCTTCCGACCGACGTGTACACGTAGAACTGCTGTTTATGGTGTCACCCTCGTCCTGGCAAGGCCTCTCCCCTTTTTTTGGAATTTGGCGTATTGAGCTTTTTTGGAGCGGCTGCCGTTCAGTGGGCCTCGTCCTGCAATGAAAGTCATCTCCTGTAGGGACGTCTGAAGGGGGACCTTGGAGGAAGGGCTTATTCTTCAAACGGTGTTTCCATTCGGTTTCTTATACGTATAAAAAACTTGTCCTCTGAGGAACTGGGCCTGTCTGTCTGTTGGGCGGCTGTGTTGTTGTCATCACCGCCCCGTCGCCGCCTCGTCGCCGCTCGTCGTCTGGGCCTGTCTGTCGGTCTGGCGGCTATGGTGTGGCCGTCGCCGCCCCGGCGCCTCTCGTCGCCGCCGTTAGATTGCACCACATGAATTGCACAAGATAGATTTCACAGCCTAGATTGCAACACATAGAGTGCACCACATAGATTGCACCACATCTGACGCACGACATTGATTGCACAACACATAGTGCACGACATAGATTGCACCACACTGATTGCTCCACCTTCTTTACACCACCTAGATTGCTCCACATATAATGCCTAACATATACTGCACAGCGGAGATTGACCTCATTGTACAACCTAGATTGCACAACCTAGACTGCAACACATGTATTCCGCCTAACAGATCGCTCCATCTTGGTTTCATAATGTAGATTACGAGAACCTCGCTAGCTGGAGTCGACGCTGGCTAACACTTATTTATATATAAATTGGCGCTTCGCGCCATGATACTTGGTCCTTGAGGCTTTGTTTATGTTGGTCGATCGCGCCATCCCTAGTGGCCTTGGGAATTTGGGTCCCTTTCCCGCGGTGATTTCGGACATGTTCGAAAGTTCGGGCGGTCCGTGGCCCTTCCCGGGCCTCCAGGGACTCCCGAAATGCGCCGGGTGGAGTGCGAAGGATGGGAGGGATGGAAGTTCGGGGAGCCAGGAGAGGGAAGCGGATGAGGGGTAGGACGAGTGGTGGAGCGGCAGAAGGAAGAGGAGGAGGAGGAGGAGGAGCCAGATAGGAGCAGGAGGAGGGAAAGAGATGGCGCCGTCGGGGGACGTCGAATAATTTCGGTTGCGCCTCACCGATGAATGGCAAGCCACGCGAGTGAGTGCCAAGCAAACCGACGCAATGTCAAGCAATGCCGCTAAGTACAAGGCAATGCCAAACCGAGGATGTCATGCTGCAGCGGGTCGCAACGGGGCTCGCGAAAATAAGCATTTCTTCGGGAATGCACCGAATCCCGGGTTCGCAACAGATTTTCGGGAAATGTGGTTGCGAACCCGGGATTCGGTTCGGTTTGGTGGAAGAAATCGCCGTGTGGGCCTTGTTGGAGCCTTGTTGGGCCAACTGGAGGCCCTCTCGAGCCGTCCTGGAGCCATCTTGGGCCGTGTTGGGGAGGTTGGGATTTTACGGGGGCTACGTGGGCCCTCTTGGTGGACTCCCGTGGCTTTCTTGGGCTTCTCTTGGGCGCCTTGTGAGGTCCTGTTGGGCTTCTTTTTGGCGCATTCGGGGCTTCCTTGGGCAGTCTTGGGGCCATCCAGGCCGTTTAGAGGCTCTCTTGGGAGTCTCGTGGGCCGTCTTGGGGCGATACCAGAGGCCTTTTTGGTTGGTTTGGACGCCGCTAAGACCCGTACAGCGAATATTCTGAAAATGCACGTTCCCCTAAAAGGGGATGAAGCGATTTTTGTGTTCTAGAAATCTTGTTCAGGGCCTCCTGGGCCGTCTTGGATGCCTGGAGGCCATCTGGGCCCTTCTTGGAGGGTACTTGTGCTGTCTTGGGTCTCTCTTTGGCCTTTCTGATCACCGCTCTGATCGCTTGGGGTCTGCTGGCAGGACCCGGCGAAGCGTACTGTGAGGTCCAGGACGAGTCGGAGGACATTTGGCAAGTGTGTCCGGGGGGCCCGGACACACTGGATCTTGGGGGTCCAGTATTGGGGGGGGGCGGGGTTGGGGGGGGTGAGGGGGTTTTCCCACCCCCCAGCTTGCAAACATGTAGGAAGAGGAATCTCTCTCTCTCTCTCTATATATATTTACACAGATGTAGATTAACATGTATATATATAGATATAGATATACGCATGTATACACATATTTCAACACCTGTCGCCCAGAAAACCAGCAGGAACAGTTGAGACTAATCGTTGTCCTGTGGCGCTTCTGCGCCGCCACATGCGACAGGTCCCAGATACGATGATGATGGTGCTCTTGATATTGACGTTGGTGATGGTGATGCTGATCACAATATCATCAACCTCATCATCAAAATCATCAGCAACACCATCCAAGTGTATGCACGCGCGGTTCCCAATGTCGAGTGGGGTCGCCCCCCTCCTCGCCTCCGCCTCCGCGCAGGACGTGTCCGACCGCTTCTGGCACGAGCCGCTCCTGCTCGTTCCCGCCGGCGGCGGCGCGGAGGGGCGTTGGTGCACCGCGCGGCAGGCCATCTGGGCTGCCCCAACAGAGGCGCCCTTCCGTCGTCCTCGTCGACGACGGCGGCGACGACGACCACAGCCACGACCACGATGACGACGTCGTCGTCGACGGCGAGGGCGTGCTCGACCTCGTCGCCGACAACCCGAGGAACGACGACGACGACAAAGGCTTAGCCGTCGTCGTCGACGTTGTCGTCGCCGTCGTCGGTCGTTGGTCGTCGGTCGTCGGCCGTCGATCGTCGGACGTCGGTCGTCGGTCGTCGATCGTCGGTCGTCGGTCGTCGGTCGTCGGTCGTCGGTTGCTGGTCGTCGATCGTCGGCGCCGTCGGTCGTCGATCGTAGATCGTCGTCGTCGTCTCCGTCATCGTCGTCGTCTCCGTCATCGTCGTCGTCGTCGTGGTCGTCGTTGTCGTCGTCGTCAATCGTCGACCGTCGACCGCTGCCGGCCAGTGGAGGCGCCCGAGGGCTGGCTCGAGGCCGCGCGGCTGGAGCAGCTGGCCCCGCACTACGGCTCCGACGCCGGTCTCCGGGAGCTGTTCACCGAGCTCCTCGGCGTCCTGGGTGATCGAAACGCCGAGTAGGCGATCTGCAGTCAAGACGCCGAAATAAGGAACCGTTCGGGTTCGGAAGGGGCTCGATGTTCCCCAGGTTCCTCCGTTGCCGTCCCTCTCGTCCTCCTCGGGCGCGGAGGCGCTTTCAGGGCCAAAAAGGAGCTTCGTTCCTTATTTAGCCTTCCTTCTTGCAGGGGCCCGACTGTACTACAGAATTGATTTGCCCCAGAATGGACGTTTTGTCGAACCTAGAATGCTTCGTAGATCTGCGGAGCATTCGACGTGTTCTTCTCGTAGGTTCGGCTCTTGGGGCAAATCCGTTCTGTGGTCGGTCTCCCACTCGAAGACGGGTCTTTCAGGCCTCCCAGATGGGGTCGGACGGCGGCGAGGCTTGCTCGCGTCGCTATAACCACTGCGGGAGGTTTTTGGCCGGTTTCGGCCTTTGTGAACATGCGTTGGGCCCCGGGACCATCAGAAAACGACTCAGTACGAAAAAACTCTGTCCCAGAGAAAGGCTTGGGACTTCCGGGGATTCCGTTTTGAAGAAGTGAGGACATCGCATGTTTGGGTTTAGACATCCCAGATGGGGTCGCCCCATCACCGATGCATCGGCGATGTGCCTCGATGTGAAGCCCGATTGTCTCCACACCGACGTCTCCGATGCATCGCCGACGTTTATGTCACCGATGCATCGATCAGTGATGCACCGACGATGCGGCGCGATCCTCCGACCCAGTCTACTCTGATCGAATCTGGGGGGCGGAAGGAATGGTGGCGAAGACTTGAAGCCGGCTGGGGGGCTGAGGTGGCCCAGCATTGGTTCCGGCCAGCAGGAAGGGGGGGTGGGATTTTGTTGGCTTGTTTCGGTCTCCGGGGGCCGTTTTCAATCCCCGCGGGACCGTCAAAAACGGATCTGCGGTGAAACATTGCACGGGGAAATTTCGGTAGGCGTCTCGAGACCGATCTTGAGCGGATTTGCTTTCATCCCCCCTCTCGGTTTCCCTGGGCCCAACCAGTTCAGATCCCATTGGCCGCCTCCAACGAAGACCAACAGCAGATCTTCCATATTTTGAACAGGGCTCGCTGTCCGTGTCGCCGTGGACGTGGCCTTCGTGAGACAGAATGCCACCTGCCCAACAGCGGCCGCTGTTGGTTTTGGACAATATTTGCTGTGGGGATGTCGTACAGTCGGACCGAGGTATCAGATGGACGTCGGTTCGGGGAGGGTGCCCTGATGTTCGTCGCGTTTGTGGGGTGCTCTTGTGCATCCTGGGGAGGGTACCCCAATTAGGATGCTCTGTGTGGTGTGGCTGTCGGAGGGGATCCTGTTTTTGGAGCATGCTCTTCTGTCCGAAGTCCGATTGTGCCCATCTCTGTCCGTGCCCATTTTGGTCGTGTCAATCGGCCACGCGCAGAGGGGGGTAGGGGGAGGGGGGAAGGCTTCTTAGAAGCACCCCTGCTTCTTAGAAGGCGCGGTCCTTATGTATAGATGCAAGGCCGCCGCCTTCTAAGAAGCAGCCCCCTTCTAAGAAGCCTTCCCCCCTCCCCCCACCCCCCTCTGCGCGCCGCCAAGTCGAGGCGTGCCGGTGTCGGCGCGGTTCGTGGAGCGGCCCGAGGAGGAGGGGGCCGAGGAGGACCAGCGGCGCCCGACCCCAAAAATTCCACGATGTACGGTTGGAGCGAGATAAAGATCGAGGTCGCTTCGGGGAGGGTGCCCCATAGTGTGCTTCGTGCTTGTGGGATGCTCTTGTGCATCCTGGCAAGGGTACCCCTGGATGTTCTGTCTGTTTCTCGCCGGCGGAGGGTCGCATGTTTTTGAAGGATGTCCTTCAGGAGGAGAAGACAGACACACACAGAGACACAATGAATCGTCGAGTCCCAGGAAAATATAGGAAACTATGGCAATTGGGGGGGAAGGCGAAAACCCAGAAAATGTAGGAGCATACGGGAATCCTTTTACTTGTGTGTGTGTATTTTTATTTGTGTGTCTTGGGGCCCCGTCAGTCTTCCTGGCCTGGGTCCGACTGTATTGAGCACATCGGGGCGGAGGTCTCCCTGAAAATCTTCGGGCTCTGTGGGCACTCGTCCGGTCCCGGGGCCGTCAATGAAACGACTCGGGGCGAAAAGCCGGCCCATGGGGGGGAGGGAAAGTGTCGGGGGCTCCGGGGGCCGCGCACTGGAGAGAAGATCAAGAGCTCTCATGTCTGGGACCGCAGTTGCCCTCTCTTGGCCTTGACGTGAGGCCGCCTTCTTTTTTCCTTCCTCTGTTAATTAAAGCTGTGCGCGGCCCGCTTAGCTTCGACCAGAAGAGGCTCGCTCTCGACCCGCGAATCAAAAAAGTCTGGGACCGCAGGCCCCCTCTCGCGAGGAGTCGGGGCGGAGGGCGTGCGGGAGGCCCCCTCTGGGCCTCGAGTCCGGGGGCGGCTCCGCAAGGGCCGGGTCCCCGGGAGGGGGTCAAGGCCTGGAAGGGTCGGGCGGGCGGTGGCGTGGGGCACCTGCATGGGGGGTGAAGAAGAGGGCCCTTTGGGACCCCTTGTCGGCCCCTGCTGGCTCCAGAAGGGGCCCTGAAGCGCCCCTGCAGGGTCCCTTTCTTCACCCCCCATATCTAGGTCACCCGCCGTCGCAACCCGCCCGATCGAATGGGGGGCCACGGGCTGGAGCAGGGTACGGCGCTGGGGGGGGTCTTCTGCAGAGCGAGGAGGGTGGGGCGCGACGACGGGGCCAGGCTTCTGGGAAGGCCGGGGGGGGCCTTCAGAAGGGGGCCCGCCCCGCGGATGCCGCGTAGAAGCCCACGCCCTCTCAGAGGCAGGGGGGCCCTGCCTCGGCCTCCGAGGATGCTTTGTTCCACCCGCGCCCGAGAGGTCTCGACCACTTCCCTGCAGGGGCACTTCTTTCGCTCCGGATCCGTTTTCTTCAGGGTCGCGGGGCCCAGAGGCCGAAATCGGGGATACACGCTCGGATCGAGACACGTTATGTGGTTGGGGATCTGGGCTTCAGCAGGCCCTCTCACCTCGCCCTTTGCCCCCGCTTGTGTTAGGATGCTACTCTCGGGAGTTGAATTCAGCATCGGCGCTCGTACACCCGTGGTCGAACACCGGCACTCTCCCGCTTAGTTCAGCTTAATGCTGCTTAGGCTGTGTCCCTCTGAACTTGGCGAAGCCCCAAGCTTAATCCAGCCCAGTCTGGCGTAATGGCTTTCTCATCGGGCTTACTCGCCCTTTTCCATTCTTGCGAAAACCACCCATGAGTTGCCTCCACGTGGACGCCCACGTGGAGATAACTCCTAACGTGGAGCCCTAGAGGTCTGGACCCCCTCTTGGGGACCGGCGTTTCATCCCGAGTCGCTGTTTTTGACGGTCCCGAAACCCGGCGAGTCCCCCAGAGGTCGAACACGGATACTCCAGATTTCGTAATAAAAGGGAGGGGGTCTGGACCTTCCAAGACAAGCCATTTCAGACCTCCCCCGTGGGAGAACCCTCCAAAACATCGTCCCCAGACCCCCCAGGCCCTCCAAGATAGCCTGGAAGAGACCCCCCCCCGAAATGAGACCCCCCTCCCTTTATTACGAAATCTGGAGTAAAAAACCTCCTTATTTTTTTCATTACGTCGGAAGATTGGTTTTCGGATCAGAACTCGGCTCTCCTGCGGATGCCTCGGCTCTCCGGCTCTCCCGGTGCTCCCGGAGCGCCTTTCTTCGATAAGGCGCAGCTGCCGGAGAGCTTCCCGAGGTTGGAACGCCGGCCAGATCCGACGAAAACGCCCGAAATCCTCCTCTTTCGAATTTCGATCGTCCCGATTTTTCTGCGGGGCGACAGGGTCTGGGTCCACGCTCTCCTCCTCCGTCCTCCTCCTCCTCCCCCTCCTCCCTCCCTCCTCCTCCTCCTCCTCCTCCTCCTCCTCCCCCTCCTCCACGCTCTCGTCGTCGTCGTCGTCGTCGTCCTCCTCCTCCTCCTCCTCCTTCCTCCTCCTCCTCCTCCTCCTCCTCCTCCTCCCCCTCCTCCCCCTCCTCCCCCTCCTCCTCCTCCCTCCTCCTCCTCCGTCCTCGCCTCCTCCTCCTCCCCCTCTTCCATCATCCTCCTCCTCCTCCTCCTCCTCCTCCTCCTCCTCCATCGCTTGTCCTTATAAGAAGCGAGCCTCGAACCGCCGGAGAAACCTTACAGATCACGAACCTGATCATCAAACGCCCAGAAGTCTCGAATCTCGAAGCCCGAGCCGCCGGAGAGGAGGGCGCGCTGCCGTGCGGCAGGAGCCGGGGGCAACGATAGGGCGGGACAGGCTCATCAGGGGGGGGGAAACGCATCGCCCACTGATCGCCGACGACGAGGGCCCGATACCCCAACCCAGTTTCGCTACATCAGGAGGAGGAGGAGGAGGAGGAGGAGGAGGAGGAGGAGGAGGAGGAGGAGGAGGGAGGAGGAGAAAGAAGGCCCCCCGCCTCCTCCTCGGCATCCCCTGAGATCCTGGCGTGGCAATTTTTTCACAACGGGCGTGTTCGCACCAGTTCGGGCCCCGACACCCTCACAGATCCATCCCCGGCCCGAACAAAAAGGCAGACGCATGGAGCCTGGGGCTCTGGTCGGGATTGTGTGCGCTGCTGCATTTGTTTGGTGGCAGCGTGTCAGGGATCGCCGATCTGTCGGCGGGGCTTCGCCGAATCCAGGTCGATGCACCCCGACCTGTATATCCCAGACCTGCGACGTCCTGGTTTCTGCAACGACGCGACCCCTAGAGGTCCGGACTTGTTCCCCCGGCCCAGTCTTCAGCCCGAGTCGTTTTTTTAGGGTTTCGAGGAAGGGTCTCCAGAGGCCAAAAAATTCGCGGGAAACTTTTCGACTCGAGGGGGCCTGGGACCGCGGCGCTCTCTTCCCCCCCCCTTTCTCCCCCCTCACAGGAGGCCGAAACTCGCGGGAAACTTTTCGACTCGAGGGGGTCTGGGACTGTAATTTATATATTCTATCAATCAATCATGCATACATACATGTCTCAGCCGATCTCTATCCTTCATTCCCTTCGAGATATAGCGTATTGAATGTTGTGATATTTTTATATGTTTTGTTGATATATATATATATATATATATATGTATATATATATATATATATATATATATATAGATCATGGGCACTGATATGAATGGATTGGAGCCCTACTGGCTGACATAATTTAACCAAAACTCAGAACCTGGTTCACCAAATTTAGGATGTACTGCATCTTCGCATTTTGCAGCTAAAGAATTATGTAATGCCACAGGGCCCCCAGGGGGCCGAAACTCGCGGGACACCTCCCGACCCGAGGGGGCCTGGGACCGTGGCGCCCCCTCCCCTTCCCCCCTCCCCCCGCAGGAGGCCGAAACTCGCGGGGAACCTCCCGACTTCGAGGGGGTCTGGGACCGTTGTCCCTGACCTTCCAGAGTGCCGAAAAATAGCCCTCCAGACCTATAGACCCATCTGGGCCGCCCAAAACCTCGACAGGAATGAAGATATCGAGGTCCTGGTGCTATTTTTTAGCCACCCTGGAAGGTCAGGAGTGCCCCCCCCCCCGCAGGAGGGCCGTGGGGCAGCCCTGCTGGCTGGTCGTCGCCTGGGGCGGCCGGCCGCCGCCGCCGCGCCCGCGGCCGCCGCCGCCGCCGGGGCGCGAGTGGCTCGGGGGCGGCGGCGGGGAGGTGCTGCCGGAGGTGGCGGCCGGCCTCGGCGCAGTGGCCGCGGAGGGGCCGCCGCAGGGCGGCCAGGAGCCAGCCTCCCTCCTCCTCCTCCTCGTCCTCCTCCTCCTCCTCCTCCTCCTCCTCCTCCTGCTGCTCCTCCTGCTCCTCCTGCTGCTCCTCCTCCTCCTACTGCTCCTCCTCCTCGTCCCGCGCGCAGACTTCGGGCGCGGCTCCCCTGACCTTCCAGGAGTGCTAAAAATAGTAGCACCAGGACCTCGATATATCTGATTTCTTGTCGAGGTTTTGGGCGGCCCAGATAGGTCTATAGGTCTGGAGGGCTATTTTCTAGCACTCTGGAAGGTCAGGGTCCTGGGAGGCCAGATTCAGACTTCTTCTCCGGCCCGAGTCCGGCTCAGGCTTTTCATCCCGCGTGATCCAGTCCCGCCCGATCCGGCTTATGCCCGCCGAGCCCGGCTTATCCCCGCCCAGTCCGGCTGAATCCCGCTTGATCCGAGGCCCATTCTGGCGTAACAGCCCCCCTAATGGGGCTCAATCCTCCCGAATCCTTCCGACGAAGAGCTCCCAGTAGTTACCTCCTAACGTAGAGGAGGGGGGATTTCTCGGATCCACGCTTGGGCCCCCTGGCGGCGCCTCCAGCGCCGCCCCTGGCGCGCGGAGCGCGCCAGGGAGGGGGGTCCAGCGCAGATCCAAGAGATCCGCGCGGAGCACCAAATATGTGTATGTTTATGACGTGTTTTCCTCTTCTGACCCAGGCGTTCTCTCGTTGTGAAAAATCAGGACGGAAGGTTTGGGGGGCGTTGTCGGCATCCACTCGCCAGGCCCCAGGACCGTCAACGAAAGACTCAGGAGGAGAAGCTGGTCCTGGGGAGAGGGTCGGGACTTCCTGAGAGAGCGTATTGAAGAAGTCAGGACGCCGCATGTCTGACGAGTTTGAGCTTCTCTAGGCCTACTAGGTCCTAGGTAGGGTCCGAGTGGTTGGGGTCGGGGGGGTGGTGGGAGGGGGGCTCTTTGAAGCCTTTGGCTCTTTCTGGGCTTCCTGGGGGCTCTTCGCGGCCGCGGCCGGGTCCGCCTCGAGGTTGTGGCCAGAGCATAGAGAGATCCGGGGCCGTTTCTCCAGGGTCGGCATGAAGAGAAAGGTTGGCCTCGCGCAGAAAGGGGGAGCGGCTGGGGCCGGGAGCCTTGAGACGGGGGTCAATGCAAACAGGGGTGGGGGGAGGGGGGGAGGCTCGTGATTCGGTCTCCTCTACACTCCTGCTCGGCCTGGCTGGCGTATGCTCTGTGCCTTTGTGGGCCCGCTTTCTTTTTCTTTGCCTCTCGCGCCTCTTTTGCTTTCTGCTACGCGCATGTCCGAGGGTTTCGAGGTGCTCTGGGCCTCCTGGATGGGAGCCGAGCAGCTGGGGTCGGAGGATCGCGCCGCATCGCCGATGCGTCGGAGATTGCGGCTCGATGTGGAGCCTGATTTTCGCCGCGCTGGCGTTCGCCGATGCACCTCGGACGTCGCCGATGCATCGGCGATGCGTCGACGATGCGGCGCGACCCTCAGACGCCTTGTACTCCCAGCCACGCGCAGAGGGGGGCGGGGGTGGGGGGAGGGGGAACGCGTCTTAGAAACATCCCTGCTTCTAAGAAGCCCTCCTCAGAGCCCCGAATCATCAGGGGTAACTCGGGTCAGGGGTAACGCGGGTTCCTTTTTCGGGAGTCCGAACCCGACTTACCCCGGACCCGAGTTACCCCGGATAACTCGGGCATCCAGAGCCCCGAATCATCAGGGGTAACTCGGGTCAGGTATAACTCGGGTTCCTTTTTCGGGAATCCAAACCCGAGTTACCCCGGACCCGAGTTACCCCGGATAACTCGGGCGCCCAACCTCCCCTCTTCCCCCACCCCCTTGTGCGCGCCGCCAGGTCGGAGGGGCCGCCGTAGGTCGGCCGGGAGCACCGCGGCGGCGCCGTGGGCGACAGGCAGGTCCGTATCCCGTCTCCGCGGCCTCGTCTGGCGGGGCCCCTGGGCCGCGGCCCCGCGGATGCGGGGCGCTTTTGTTGGCGGCGGGCGCCGGGGGGGCCTAGCGCCGAATTCGAGAAACGCTCGGCGGCGGGATCTTCCACCGACCTGTCGCTCTATACCTATATGATAGAGTACTATGTAGTATATATATATGGATATATAACTCCGCTCTGTTTTTATATAAGTGATCATCTATTATCAATACTACTTATAATATGCTATTATATATAACACCACAAAATTTCAATTTCTCCGAGTCATTGAGGAAGGTCGCTCGATGAGCTTCAGCGAGTGGCTCTCGACCGAAGCAGTCCGCGCCGCCACCACGAGCCTGGCGATCTGGGCTGCGAAGCCCGAGTGTCCTCCGTGCATCTGCAAGCCCTCGCTGGTGTGCGGCAGCGGGCTGGAACCTCACAGACAGGACTGCCCACCTCAGGTGGGGACCTGGCCGCTGTCAGCCGTCGTGCTGGCCGCGGTGCTGGGCCTGGCCGCAGGCGCGCTGCTGGGCCGCTGGTTCGCTCCGCCTGCTCCGGCGCGGGCTCTGGCGGCGATCGACCAGTTCGAGGAGGAGGCCCGGGCCCAGGCTGCTCTGGTTCGCGGGCGGCTGCAGGCCCAGTGAGGCCATGTCGGCGGCGGCCGCCGCGGCAGCGGGCCATCCCCTCGCCCTCCTCGGCCTGGACGAGGGAGATTTCATCTTGATCAGATACCAGGTCGGGGGGGCGAGGATCTGGCACGAGCGCCTCATCCTGGCCTTCCAGCCCGTCGCGCCGTTCGGATGCGGGATCCTGACCCCGGACGGCCACGGCTACGTCGAGGTCATCGCGAATGGAGGCGCGGACGTGGCAGAGTGCTGCATCCCGGCTGGAGGCGCCGCTGGAGGCAACTCGGCGGCGACGGGCGGGGATCAGGTCTACCGGTTCCGCGCCCTGCCTCTGCCGGCGGCCGTCGCGGCCGCGGCCACCGCCACCCGGGGCACTCTCGGGCTCGCTCCGGGTCCGGCCGTGGCCCTGAACACCGTGGGCCGGGTCATCGCGCCGCCGGCCCCCGCGCCTGCTGCTGTTGGCGCCCCTGCCGCCGCGGGCGGCCCGGCCGCTGGCGGCGTGGCGGGCCTCGCGGCGGCCCTGGGTGCGCCCGCTGCGGTCGGAGCCCCGGCCCCTGGAGCAGCGGCGGGCGCGCTCGTGCCGGCCGCAGCGCCCGCTGGGCCCGCGCCGGGAGGCGGGCTGGTGCCGGTGGCCGCAGCTCCCGCGGCTGGCGCTCTGTTGGCCGCTGGGCCCGTGGGCGTCCCCGCACCCGCGGCCGCCGCGCCCGCTGCCGCGGCCGTTGCGCCCGGATGGCCTGACCTAGGGGCAGGCGCCCTGGCGAATGCTTTCGCCGCGGTGGCGGCGGCCCCTGGCGGCGACGCGCGGATGCAGGCCATCGTCTTGGACTCCCAAGGGGTCCGCTACGTCGACTTCAGGACGGCCGTAATGAGGATGCACGAGTTACCTTGGCATGACTGGCCGCTCAAGGGCCCCAGAACGTTGTTGTGGGTGCTGAACTACATCTGCCGGAACGGTGGCACACCCCTCGGTCGCCACACCAAGTGGAAGGCCGAGGCCTACCTGGACGACGAGGACCCGGGGGTAGACGTGCACCTACTGTGCTGCAGGCTGTTGGAGTTCGGAGTCGTGTATGATCAGACTCATGCGACCAATCTAGCTTCTATGGAACTGGTCGGCCGCACGCTGCAGACCCAGGAGGAGCTGTACCGCGACAGGTTCGCGCCCACGTCCGAGCACGGGAACGACGCTGCGCTGCTGTCCGGCGTCCAGGACGCTGGCAGCGGCATCTGCATGGCCCCGGCGCTGCGCGACTGGCTGGCCGCCGAGAAGTCGCGCGAGGCGGCGATCGCCAAGGAGCGGCGCAAGGCTCGCGAGGAGCGTGCCTTGGCCGCCGGGACCGGCGCTGCTGGCTCTGGCGGCGCCGAGGGGCGCGGAGGCCGTGGCCGCGGCGGCCGAGGCCGTGGGCGACGGGGCCGTGGGGGCGGCAATACCCCAGGCGCCGATGCCTGAGACGAGCCGAGGGGGGGCAGATGGGCCAGCCTCCCCTCGGGACTGCTGTGCGGCTCTCGCCGCAGGCCCCCGGCCGCCGGGGACACGCCGCCAGCGCGACGTCTTCCCGCTGCCGGTCGTGCCGGCCGCTGCTCCGCGCGGGATGGAGCCTGGCGGTCGTCGCGCTGCTCGTCGGCGCGGCCTTCGCATTCATCATGATGATCGCGTTCGAGCGGCCACCAATGCACTCAATTCACTTTATGGCTCTCGGTCCTCGCCTCCATCTGCAGCGCACGAGGGGCAGCGCCAGGCCATCATGCATATCGACAGTTGCGTCAAGGAGCTGGGCGCGCCGCCGCCCGAGTTCAGTGACACGCGTGCTGGTCAAGACGGGGCCCTCCGGGAGCTCCTCTCCTGCGCCAACCTGTACGGTTCGGGCGCCGCCTCGTCGTCCCCCTACGTCCGCGACCGTGTCGCATGGCCCGCTGAAGGTGCTGCGCCCGTCGAGCTCGTCGGGCTTGTGCAGCCCCATGACAAGGCCTGGCTGGAGGGATGGCAGAGCCATATGCTTCGAGATCGGCAGTCCGCCGAGGCCTTGGCACGTTCGGCCTGCCCACGCGGGCCGTACTGCGACCCGAACCTGTTTCGGGACGCGACTGCCTACGGCCAGTTTTTGATGGAGATGCGCCGGAGGCAGATGGTCACCTTCGCGGCCGACAGCGGTCAGCCGCACACCGTCGGCCTCTTCTTTGTGCCCAAGAAGTCGGGGGCCCTCCGGATAATTTTCGACACGAGGGCCGCCAACTGCAAGTTTTTGGATCCGCCGGCCACGAGGCTTCCTTCTGCAGCGTCCTTCGGCGCTATCGAAGCCCCGGCGGACGGCATGTACCTCTCCA